GATACGAGGGTTTAGGGTTCAGGGTTTAAACAGAAGGGAGATCCCCAGCCCCCGTCCACCGGCCTGAGCTATACCGAGATTGAGGATACGAGGGTTCAGGGTTCAGGGTTTAAACAGAAGCGAGATCCCCAGCCCCTGTCCACGGGCCTCAGCTAAAGGGAGATTTCAGATATGTAAACACACATGTACACCGTTCTGTGTCAACCGTATATGAACACCATTCAAGCAGTACATTCAACCCACAACACACACACATACTTAGAAGCGTCCCATTTGAGTTCCTTCGATTTCGTCTTCCCGAGAAGAGCATCGGCAAAAACAACAACAGATTTGTTAGAACACAATATAACTGAACAAAGCATCCATGTTGCTGGAAAGACCGAAAGTAACATGAGCCAAAAAAAAACGTACACAGCAACCTTACTAACCACGTGGAGAGATATGCATTGTTCGAAAGAACCGCCAATCTCAGCAACCTGAGTAGCGCTAAACATACATATGTTCCTCTCTCTCTCTCTCTCTCTCTCTGTGTGTGTCGCCTTTCGATCCCCGAGGATACGTTGCCCTTGTTACTGCACTGCACCCACCGCGGCCATGAGATTGCCGTCTGATACAACGAACGACTGGCCAAAGCAATGCCGAGATGTCGTGTCCGGGAGCAGCAAGGCTGGTACGCACGTCATTCTTGGCTGACCTTGGCGATGTAGGAGGCCGCAGCTGTCTTGTACTGTTCGAAGCTGGCGACCTTGTTGTAACCTTGGCGACAATAATCCACGAACATCACGGCCTCAACAGCACTACAGTCCTCGACGGCTTCGTTCTTCGCAGCCATCACAGCACCTATTTGTCGCAACCTGTGAGAAGTCTCTATCGCGCAAGAGGGCAGAGATCGTGCGGTGAGGACCAACAGAAGACAGCGATTCGATCCACGCAGATGGCCCTGCGGAAAGCTGCGCAGAACAGTGTTTGCACGCGGAGGATCCGGCCTCACGGTCGGCTGCGGGAAGAGGGAAAGGCGGGGGTGTCGCAGGGAGAAACAAACTACGCTGCACACGGCGCGCAGCAGGTGCGGTGAAGGCTGGAGTCATCGGAGAGTTGGCTGCCGGCTTGCTGAACGTCAATGGCGACCGGCCATGTGCGTAATCACGCGCAGCAGAGGCCTCTGCTATCCTGCGAGTTCGAGTACGGATGTAGGCCTGCGAAACCCATTGCACGGGGGGTGCATATGTGGCAATCAGGCAATCTCCGTGACAAGCCTTGGCATAAGGACGTGATACCCTCGGCACGTCCGGCAGACGTGAAGCAATTTCATCCAATCTAGCGTACCTATAGATCTCAAACGGCACGTAATCATCCTCAAATTTAGCGACTTTTTCACAAAGACTCGGAACGTCAAATCCAGGCCTCGTGGCATGTTCATGCCGGAGGATGGCCTCAATAAGCTCATGCGCGTCGTCCAGCGATCCGTTATCGCACAGAAATTTGTCACGATGCGGGACAAACCCACGCTCGATCCTGCCTCTCGCAAGCAAAAAGTCTAGCCAAATGTGTTCCGTAGGCTCTACCCGGTCTCCATCCAAGAACAGCCCGAAGAGCATCCAATTCACGATTCGTCTCCTACCAACCCTGTCGAGAACGTCCGTCCAAGACTCGACTATCCTCTGCTTCTTGCCGTCAAGAATGACAGTCCTTTTCGCATCCACCCAGATAGGCGGATCGTAGGAGTTTATGTCGTGATAAACCAGTGTCGTACCGGGCCGAAAACCATTGCGGCCGTAGGATGGTGTGATCATCGGGCCCATGACTACATTTTCGGACTGCCCGGAGTCAGTTGCCCCTCTCCGTGCAAGCGAGGATGAAGCATCGGGTCTATGCGCAGCGTCCGACGTCAAACTGGGCCCTACAACGACCTCGCGTGGCAGCTTTGCAAACACTGACACCGGCCCGCAATTTCCGCATGCCGGAGTAGATCCGAACGGTCGCAAAGGCGGAGCTCCATCATGCACAGCCGGAGCGGAGGATTGGGAAGGTCGGATGTAGGGGACAAAGGTCGAAGTCCCATCCGGCTGGGAAGTTCGGACGCGCTTTGTAGACGCCGTAAACGGCGTTTGTAAGTTGTCGGTGCCGGCATCGATTTCGCACGCCTGCTTACTCACCCCGTGCGCACGCGCGCAATCAGCATTCATCTGGGCAGCGGCCACAGGAGTTGTGGGGGGGAGCGGTGACCTACCTGCCGATACACCGTATGGACTCGACTGGCCGACATAGCGAGCAGGCGCTCCATCCGATCCACCGCGAAGTTCGGCCGGCGACGATCGGTCCCACTCCCAGGAATCGGTCGACTCATCCCCAGATAAATCCCCAATGTCCACACCTGCCTGGTATATATCCAGCAGAAGCGAACCCATGGGAGTATGGATAGCTAAAGGGCTCCTCGCGCGCACCGATTCCGTCGGCGTCCGACCGCAGCGTTCAGGCTCAGACGGCGCGTCAAGCGTCGCCGGAACTTCGTCGTAATCGTAATCAAGGAAGTCCTCATCGTCAGGAGAAAAAGCGGATGCAAGGAGCGACTGATTCCTGCTCCCGCATGCAGGCGTGGAACCGGTCTCCAGTGCAGAACCGTGCGCGGCGTTGCTAGCAGGAGGTGCCCTACCCTAAGACATCTGACACAACATACACACACGACAAACACGAACGCAGAAGACGAAAGGGTCAGAACGCGAACAAAGACAATCCCAACAATAGAACATACACAACGGCACCAACAACAACCGACGCCCTCCATTCGCACGACTGCACTTGCAAAGCCAGCTACGCCAGCAGCTCTTTGAAAACCACGTTCTTCGTTCTTGTGGAATCGGCAGGGAGCGCAACACAAATGTCATCGGGATGTCCCGCACGCGACAGACCAACGTACAGCTGACCATGACCGAACACAGGTTTCTCAAGATACAAACCAGCCCTCGACACGCTCTGACCCTGGGACTTGTTAATCGTGATCGCAAAGGCAAGATGCAAGGGGAACTGTCGCCTCTTCCACAGGAAGCCATCAGAGTCGTCGGAGTCAAGAGTCATCCGAGGTATCACAGCGATCTTATGACTGGGCAGAATCGTGGCTTCGATGAGCCGTCCGGACACGGACTTGTTAACAATCAGGCAAGTGCCATTGCACATGCCCATTTGCACAGAGATGTTTCTCAGCAACATAATCGGAACCCCCTCCTTTATGCGCAGCACATGCGGCGGCAAGCCGGAGCAACTCAAGCTGTTGAGGTACTCAACCGGAACGTTCAAACCGTACGAGTCCGTAGGTGCGCTGTGAAGTGACCTGTAGAGGATGTCCCGTTGGGGGAGACCATCCAAAATCAGATTATTGATAACATACGCAGCGTCGTTCTTGGGGCACAAAACGAACCTCCCCGTGAGGTAGTCGGGGTCGTGAAGATGCCGACCGAGGTCGGGAAACGTCCAGTCAATGAGTGCACCAAGATCCAGGGCCATGCATATCTCCGGCGGCAGCTCAATCGTCTCGGGATCCGCAGGGTCCACAACGTCGTGCTCCCCGTCACCCACACGCAGCAGGAAAGCAGCAAACTTTCTTTCGACCTCATCATCGCCACGACGCAGAACCCTCATGTTCTCGTGTAGCCTGTGCGTTTTGAAGTGCGCCCACAACGGCGACGATTTTATGGAAGCCCTGATTTGCTTTGGCCGACTGCCTCTTCTCACCACCGGCAAAACCTGCCTGAAGTCACCCGCCAGCAAAAGCACCTTACCACTGAAGGGCTCGTCCGTTTGACAGATATCCTGCAAGGTGATGTTGAGAGCTTCCAACTGCGCGCGGTGCGTAATCGACGCCTCGTCCCAAACTATAAGGCTGCACATTCTTATCAACCGCACAAGTTCCCCCTGTCTTCGAATAGGAAAAGCTTTCTTAGCATCAGGCCGAAGAGGCGCCTGAAACCGCGAGTGGAACGTTCGTCCGCCGGGAAGCAGAAGTGACGCTATTCCGCTGGACGCGACCGCCAAAGCGATGCAGTTTTCATGCCGACGCACGCCCGCAAGTATGGTGTTAATGCAAAACGTCTTGCCCGTTCCGGGGGGAGCGTCCACAAAAACGCACAGCGGACTCCTGTTCAGCACAGCGGACATAACGCCATCGACCAGCTCTTTTCGCGAAGGGCGAAGCAAAGGGTAGTTTGCTCCCCACTGCCTCTCCATATCCGCCCTGTCGTACATGAGCTCCTCTTGGATCAGTTCGGGCAAGCCCTCAAGGAGAATCCGAGCACGCAGCTCCTCAGCAACGCGCTGCGCTTCCGGGTCGGGGAACGCCAAACCAACACCTCCCATAGTGGTTTTCATGTCCAGCAGCTGAACGTGAATGTCCAACAATGCCAACGCTTGCAGAACCCCCGGCGCGACACTCATGCTCCTCAGCTTCCTCACGTAGTCCTCACACATGGGCTGCCAGTGCTTAAAAAACAGCGCCATGGGGTCAGACACAGGCCCGTACGCAAGCAGCATGGCGAAGACTTGCCTGATCTGGTGCGGCATGTAATGAAGAGCCGCCGTTTCCATATCCTTGTCGTACTCGAAATCGTCATCAAGAAGGTGGAGGCGCTGGCAAACTTCTCGGAACGTGGCCAACTCCCCGTGCTCCACCGTTCTCAACGCAGSGAAAGACGTCGCGCCACGAGAATGTTCATGCCCGAGGAGGATGCGCAAGTAGAAGAGGTCCCCCTGAGCCGGGTACGCACGCTGCAGGCGGCCGATCTTGGGAAAGGCGCCACTTCTCCCAGCCGAAAGGCGCAATTTCCACCGCTTCTCAGTCTTGTGCCACATGTGGGTTTCGGTGATGTCAGCATAGAGCGGAAGACGGTTGCACCCACAGCGTTGAAGCTCCTTGTTCAGCTCATCCACGCCGTCAACTTCGTGCGACCTGCACCGACGTCGACTGCAATCTCCTCGTCGCCTTCTTCGAACATGACAGTCTCGTCACCATCCAAGTGAACCGGCAGCCTTTCGACGGGTGGCCATTGCTGGGTTACGGGGAATCCGAAGATCCGCCAGCACGCCTCGCTCGCGCCAACGCAACGCAAGTCTCGGTACATACGAATTTCGTTGACGCTGTGCTGTCTCTCCAACTCAGCAACCATAACTTTGTCGTTCCCTTTCAAAATGTACTTGTACAGATACTTGCAAGCGAGTATGTTGGCGCACGACTCCACGTTAATGTGGGAGTTGAACCGCAATAGCAGGTATCCGTTATATGGCACAACTCGACCATTGTCGTACACGACGCCGCCCTCGCAAAGCGTGCAACCTCCTGCATCCGGGGAGGACCGTCTGTACAGAGGATACCCTTTCCCCGTTTGGAAGGTGGTTTTTCGCACAAACGGTTTCGGGAAGTGTTTTGTGCAGCGTTTGTTTGTCGTGCAAGCGGCGGAGGGCTTCGCAGCGCCGCACAACTGATGGATCATAAACTTGGACACCTTCTCACGAAGCTCTCCGTCCGACGGTATCTCCGAAGATATCGCTTCGTCCATAGCATCCGGATTGGACAGTTTTTGGCCCCTATCGAGTATCACCAGGATGTGTGCATGAGGAAGACCGCGTTTTTGGAACTCGACGGTGTAAAAGACCGCGCTCACCGCTCTAAAGACGCGCTTGTCCTTTATTTCATGTATCAGCTGCTTCAGGTGACCGCGAAACACACGCGGCAACAGTTCCTGCCTGTCGCTGGGAACTTGACCCGGCATCACAGCATCCAAGATTTCAGGCCAATTGCTGTTGCAAGTCATAGTAATGAACAAATCGGGTCTCCCGAGCTTTTGAACAACGGCCATGGCGTCATAATACTTCTCGGCCATGTAATGGGGCCCGCCCGTGAAGGTCGAAGGCAGAAAGACCTTCGTCCCCACACCGTCCCGATGCTCATTCTCCTGGACAGCTCTCCGCAGCTCCTTGTACCGTTCGCATCGCATTTTCTCCTTGAGTCTCAACCTTGGCGTATGCCATGCAGCAGTACTCTTGAAGCAATCGCTTCGCACAAAGCAGGGTGGTACGCTCACCACACCTCTCATGCAGATGGAACGCATAAAATTGTTTGGTGATGTTGTTGGGGTTGCCTTTGGAAGAGTCGGGTAGTCTGTCCCACCAATCCTCGCCAGTCGAAAACAAAAGCACATAATTCAAAGGGTCGTACGCCCTATTGTCATCGGCAACCTTTGTCACCGCACGACCTGCGTTGCGCTCCAGTCGACAACGCACCTCCACCTCACCCGACAACAACTTGTCCGGAATCAGCACGCACAGCTCTAGCAGGCCTTCCGGTTTGTTGTACCGCCGTTCATGCTCACCGCGTGGCCGCGCGTGGGGGTTAATAACAATCCTAACCCCGTCCCGGTGCGCACCAGGCATCTCGTGATACGTTATAAAGTCACGCACATACGGATTGCATTGCAGCAGAAGTCCGTGAAGGCGAGCAACCAACTGCCGAATTGCGCGGATCTCGCACTCTGTCGTGTTGTCGGGAAGGCGCATTGTGTCCACTCGCATGTCCGTAACAGCCTCCACCTCAGCAGGGTCGTAAATGTGCATCTGTGCGAATTGCGGCTTCTGGCCAGGCTCCGGCTCCAAGGGCCCAAGACAGTGCACAGGCCCTTGGATCTTCAACTGCCCTTCGAATCCTCGCAATCTCTACTCCGCTTTCCTCGTATGCGCAAACACGAGGCACAACGCGTTGTTGAACCTACGCGAATTTGCCCTCAAAAGCCTGCCCTCGCGAGAGTCCTCTGTCCACAGCGACAGCACCGAGTGTGTCGCAGTTCCTGCCTCCGGCATCTCCCACAATCGGCACTTCATCCTGCCTTGTTTACAGCAAATTGTTTTCCACGCATGCTCATGCCTCTAAAGCAGAGCACCGCAATGTTGGCAAGGGGAACGTTCCCCGAGGCTGTATGGATTGAAGGTGCACGCGTTGCCGAAGATCCGCGCATGGTTCACGATCGCGCAACGGAAAGCAGCAGAACGCAGGAGAGGCAACTGACTTGTTATTGTTTCTCAGAAGACACCAGCCACCGCATCGGATGCGAGGGACACGGAGCCGAAACGTAACATGGCTACGTCCACCCCCGAACGACTTCCAGTATCGACGTGACGTTCCTCGGCCCCCTCGCCCCCTTCCTCAATGGCAGGCGCATGTCTTTCCAAGTCCGACCGGTGTTGTGCGCCCTCGCCAGGTGTCGACGCCCTGCGCTTTCGCCGGCTCGACACTCTCAACCGTCGCGCCGCACGCGCAGTGGCCATGCTCGATGCCAACCCCTGTCCAACCGAGCGACCTGAGTTGTCGCCACTCACAGGACCATCACTCGCCCTGTCCTTCCGCACAGGTTCGCACGACCCCCCACCCACCCCACCTTCAACAGGCACAGACTTCCCCTGCGGATCGAGCCCGTCGAGGCTTCCAGCCGCACAGCAGGCAGCTCGCACACATTGCGGCACACACGACGGCTCCTGCTCCATTTCCAATGGAAGCTGAAATACGCGTCCGTCTCCAAAGACCGTTGAGTCAACATCCGGAGCGACTCCGCCAGCCTCCCCTGATTCGAAAGCTACGTTATCGGTACCGGGCCACGACACCGAGCAAGGCACAGGCACGACACCCCCGAGAGACCCCCCGTCGAGCCAACCGTGGCAAGCACCAAAGTCGTAACTACGACTCGACGCTTCAGACAGGGCAGCCCGCTGTCCTTGTGTCCGTCCTAAATCCTCGTTCAATGCCCATTCGCGCCCCCGTTCCTCTACGAAACTCGCATGGCCGCGGGGCAGAGAGTGCCCCGTGTCCAACACCTTCCCACCACGCCAATGAGTCGTTGCACCGGTGGGAACCCCGCACTCGTTTTCACCTAGTCGAATACTCGAATGTCGCACAGCGCTATCCGAGGACAATGTGTTTTTTTCCGCAATCGTAACGACAGCGAACGGTGCACAACGTTCATTGCGGGGAAGAAGGTTCCTGCCCTCTGCAGGTAGTCGAATACTCGAATGTCCGCCACCGCTATTCAACGACAACGTGTTTTTTTCTGCCATCGCAACGGCAGCGAACGGTGCGCAACGTTGATTGCGGGGAAGAAGGTTCCTACCCTCTGCGGAACGGCCCCCTGATCCCAAAGTCGGCGTCAATGGTACGTGCGCAGAAAGGAGGGAATGTAAAAATAAGAACTCCGGAGAGAACCGAGGAGTGGTGCAGTTAGTTATATCCTCGTAAGGTGCATGACACAACGGAGCACCAACCAACGTAGGATCGATTGTGTGATGACCGGCCGCAGAGGGCGCGGCAACCGGTGTTTGACAACGTCTCCTCTTTGGCTTTCCAGCCCAACCTCCGAGTCTTTCGCAAAGTCGCGCGGAGAAGGCTTCCGCCGGGGGCTGTGGTGAAGGAGAACGAATTTGTGGGGGAACGTCTTGAAGACCAAACCTAGGCGTGGTGAACAGCGAGGTTTGTGCATTCACACGTGAAGCTGTCGTGGAAGGACCAGGTACCTCGTACCCAACCCCTGGCAAGAAATTCACCGGCGCAGATGCCGGGAACGGGAAAGACTCCGATGCACGGGAATCGCTATTGCCCACAGCAGTCCATCAACTGCCATGCGCATGTTCCGCCGTAAACAAACGTGCCCCTTCTGGGATATCCTGGACCGTTCTCCCCAACCACCCATCGACATGCACACGCGCATCCACAGTAACATTGCATGAACCGCTTCGAAATCGAAGGTGGTCCGGAAACATGTGTGGAGCGTGCGAAATATCATCGCACGACCTGTGAAGCATAAGGGCTTCCCGCCAAGGCCCCGACCGCAAAGGGCATTGACCATCCATGGTTGCGTCCGAACCATGCAGACGAACAATCCCATGCCGTCTTTCGGCACACTCTGGACAAAACCGCACTAAGACCGCATAGCACAGTCAACTGACCACAAACCACGACTTTTCGGTACGCTAGCAAAACTGTAGCGAAGCAAAGCAGCCATAGCACAACAACCGGTACATCGCACTCGCGATGTAGACCACCCAACGCACGAAAGGAAACGAATGCGTCAAATCGATACGTGCGTTGCGAGGCATTTTTCATTGAAGGAAAGCATGCAAGAGCAGCGGTCGCACAGGACAACAAACAACGACATTCACACCAAATTGGAAACCATCGCATCAGCACCCTTCATACCCCACGCCTCACACGCACATCTACACCCTCTCATTTTCACCTCTGATTTGCGTCTCATCTCTTTTTCTAATTTATTTATCGAGGAGCGGGATGGGAGGCTGTGTGTGTGTGTGCGGGGGGGGGGGGGGGGGGGGGGGGCGGAAGCGAACCGCTTTTTCTAACCACAACGAACCCATGTGTATATACATATAAAAGGGTGTATAATATATATAATACGAAAGGGTATAATATATAAAATATATATTATGAGTACGTATACATCTATGCAATATATATATATATATATATACATATATATCGTTATATATATATATATATATAAATATACACACGTGGATGTATCCCTTTTTTTTCTTTTTTACTTTCGGGCCCAGTGCCCAAGGCAAAAATACAACTAAGCACAGGTTCCGAATTCAGGTGCCACCAAACTACCATGGAAATGAAGACCATATAACATCAAGAACAATCTTTTGAAAACAACAGCATTCAAAAAAAAAAAAATTGCATGTGTATATACATATAAAACCTACGTTACCTGATCGGACGTCCGGGACCCCCTGACCGTCCGGGACTGTCCGATCGGACAACCGGTCGGCCGTCCGTCGGGGGCCCGACGTCCGATGAAAAAAAAAAAATGCGGGGGGTCGAAAACGAGGCCTAGGGAGGCCTAGGGGTGGGCTACGTGAAGAGGGGAACCGTGGGCGCCGACGGGAACATTTTTCGGAGGCCGGTAGGGCCTCCAAAAACGAAACACAAAACGGCCCAATCTGGGCCGTCCGATCTGCGAGATCGACGACCCAGATTGAGTTATTTTGAAATTCGAAATCGGGCGCCCTTCGCGCTCTCCCCCGCGCGTCTTCGCCCCCGCGCTGTTGCCAGAGTTCGGTGTTGTCGTTGCCGAACTCCGACGTCGACGGCTGCAACCCCACGCGCCATCGCCCGCCCACACCAGGTGAGCCAGCTCGTCCATCGTCGGACCCTCCTCCTCCTCTTCCTCCTCCTCTTCCTCCTCCTCCTCCTCCTCCTCCTCCTCCTCCTCATTGACCGTGGCCTTCTACTCCTCCTCCTCTTCGTCGTCCTATTCCTCCTCCACCTCCTCCTCCTCTTCTTCCTCCTCCTCCTCCTCCTCATTGTCCTCCTCCTCCGACGTCGACGGCCGCAACCCCATGAGCCATTGCCCGCCCATGCTAGGTGAGCCAGTTCCTCCATCGTCGGACCCTCCTCCTCTTCTTCCTCCTCTTCTTCCTCCTCCTCTTCTTCCTCCTCTTCTTCCTCCTCCTCTTCTTCCTCCTCCTCGTCTTCTTCTTCCTCCTCCTCCTCGTCCTCCTCATTGACCGTGGCCTCCTCCTCCTCCTCCTCCTCCTCCTCTTCGTCGTCCTCCTTCTCCTCCACCTCCTCCTCTTCTTCCTCCTCCTCCCCCTCTTCGTTGTCCGCCTCCTCCTCCTCTTCTTCCTCCTCCTCTTCCTCCTCCTCCTCCTCCTCCTCCTCCTCCTCTTCCTCCTCCT